AAAAAAAACCTAATAAAACTCCAGCAAATAGAAAAATGCTGCAAAAGCACTAAAAATACAGAGAAAGTAGAATAAAATTTTATTCATATTGGCGCAAACCAGGAACAGCAATGTGCCGTGACAGATTGGGCGTGAGGGAAGAAAGACAGGGCAAAAACAGAAAGGTTCCTGGGGACACAATATCGTGACGGACCACTGGCAGAAGAAACAAAAACCAAAACATGTAAAGGACTGCACTGAGGCACGCTTAAAAGAAGCACAGATTTCATCATTGTTGTGAGAGGAAAACAAGACGAGGTAACGTGTGTTTTAATCAGTGATTCATATAACACTGTATATTCATGTTAGCCATTTACTGCTAGCTTGTCACTTCATCAGGTCGAACATTGCATTATTGTTTCCCCAATAACACGTCTGCTTTGTTTCATCATTTATGTATTTATTTATTTTTTAGCTTTTGCAGTGTTTTCTTTTCTCTAATGTGATTTCATAAATTCTGTGATATGTAGAAGGATTTAACAAAAATTTGTTCTGTGCCTGGAAAGGTTTTTTTTTACGTAGAAGAATAAACAAAAACTATCCAGGTGAGTGTATGCACAACTCTCAACTGTAGCTCAACACAACATAAAGTGTAGGAGGCACCACCTTTTTGAACTATTAACCTAGCTGGAGGCAGACCACTATTATTTAAAAAATAGATAAAAAGAAGAAAAAAAAAAAAAGGCGATCCAAGCCTCTTCCACCTCTAATACAACCAGTGATGCAGAGCAGCTGATCTGTGCATCAGATGAACCCTTACACTTATCTACAGTTCGATCTAGCTGAGGTTCCCCCCACTTCCTGTCTGCTTTTTTTTTTTTACTTGTACGGACTGAACGCCACAGGAAACTGTGGTGTTAGTGGCAAACAGTAGGGCAGAGTTAAAGAAACATATTCAACTTGTAAAAACATTTACATTTCTCAGTCATGTCACTGTCCTGAATCAGCCTCCCGCAGGCTTTACACTGCTCTCACGCTAATGGCTGTTCAGGCCAGTCACTGAAAAACAGGGCAAGACTTCTTAGAAATATAACTGAATTATGGGTTATGAGTGGCTGTAACATCAACTAACAAGATTATTTTGAGAAAGTTGAAAATACTGCTGGTTGACAGAGGAAGTGCTTCTGTAAATGGTGCGGAGATTCAAATACCTCTGGTCAAAGTCACATGGTTGATGTATTAATAGGACAACTGACAGTCTGTGACCGAGACTGATATGAGATTAGGCAACACACACACACACACACACACACACACACACACGCAGCAAAGTACAATGGCTGTCTTCTGTTTGCAGGCTTGTTCTAACTTCTCAGGTTACATTTACGTAACCGTTGGCAAAGTCTCCAAACCGCCTTCGGTATTTCAACAAGTTGCACTTTGTCTTCCTTCCCTTTAAAGAGGATTTTAAAAACAAAAAAACAAAACAGTACAGACTCAAACATTCATTCATACTTGAACCTGTTTTTGTTTTTCACAAACTACATGATTATTCCTTTAAAACTTAAAAAAAAACAACAACTTTAAATCAGGGGTCCCTAATCTCAGTCCACAAGGGCCGGTGTCCTGCAGGTTTCAGATGTGTCCTTGATCCATCACAGCTGATGTAAATGGATAAATTACCTTCTTAACGAGTCTTGAAGTTCTCCAGAGGCCTGGTAATGAACTAATCATGTGATTCAGGTGTGTTGATCCAGGGTGATCTAAAACCTGCAGGGACACCGGCCCTCGTGGACTGAGATTGGGGACCCCTGCTTTAAATGATGGTCTCCTGCAGATATTTGAGCAATTAAACTGTGCCAGAGAGATAATGAACAAGTCCGGCTTAAATGAGTTTTTGGTCACATTTCTAGATCATTTATAGACCTTTTTTGTTACCTGATCCCTCTAAGGCCAAAATACACAATATAAATCACAAAGGCACATGAAGGCAGTGTTACATATACGCACAAAGACACATGAACCAAACCACATCAAGAGGTCAAGTGAAAACACCCTAATGGATCTGCCTTATTTCCAAAGAACACACTTATAAAACAAGCAGACAGAAAGCAGCTCCGCCTCTTTATACAAATTTCATCAGTTTTGTTTGCTCTGTGACTGGCATCAAAACCTGCGTGTTTGATGCCAGCAGGTGCAAGGTGCATTTCTAACTCCATTCACTGCTGAAGTCATTGTTTTGATACACAAACAAAGCACACGGTGAGGGAATCCCTTCTAAACTGGGGACCAAGTGGACGATCATCATCATCCTCATCAAATAAAAGCTAAAATCGCCACGATGGCACCAGCGTCTCTATTGGATGCAAATAAACCCTAGAGGACTGTGGAAATAATGCAAAGTGGGCCACAACAACAAATCCACATGTGTTGGGTTGCTACAGCAACACGCAAACAGAGTAGGAGGAAAATCACAAAGCGGGATAGTCTATTGTTTTTATTTTTTAAGACCTGGTGGACTTTTAAAGGGTGAGAAAATGCCTATCTTGGTATAAGGATAGGTGCTGTTTGAATTAACTAGGAAAATTTGCACTAATCTAAAAGATGGTTCTTTCAAAATAAGTCTCAAACACTGATTAGAAGTTTTCTGTTAAAGGCTTTTCAGGTGATGCGCATAGGTAATAGTAATAAATAAAAAGGGGGTTAGAGCAAACTGAAATCCTACTCCTAACCCCTGTAGGCTTCAAGAGGTTAGACTGTGTGTCAATATGCTTGAGGGAAGAGAAGAGTTATTTCTGAAACTTCGCTTCCAGCTGAGGCAAACAAAACAAGGTGTCAAAGACTTACTCAGCTAAAATGTGCACAGTCTTCAGTTTTCCTCATAGAACTTATACAATGTAATTACTCAGTTCCTCAAACAAACAAAAAGAGAAGATGTGTGGGCATATTTAAAAAACATATAATTTACAAGAAAGATGTTTGAGGATGATGAGAGTTTGGAGTTGCTGCTAATGTTACGCTAAACTCTGATATAACCGCTAGCACCACTGTAAAGACTGTCACATTAAAGTTTAACTTTCAGCTATATCATGTTTTAATTATGTCCCTCATAGTTTTTGTGTCTGTGATTTCTACTTTCTCTTTTGGGGCTAATAAGGTTCTGTCTTTTTACTACTTGCTAAATACAGTACACAGCTGTTAAACCGGACCTTATGCAGGACTAATGGTACCACACTGGTGCCTGGTTGTGTACGTCTTCAGCTATGCAGACTGAGTGGACAGTTTTTATTCTTTCCAGTTCTCACGTTCACGGCTTATTGAAATTCTATCTTCTCAGAGGCATGAGCTAAGCTAAAGCTCCAATAAAAAAAAACACTACACCCCACTTGTGACACTATGCAGCTACAACAGGTAGAACAACGTCGGCAAATCTATGTGACTACCGACTACCAATGCAGCATCACAATCAGGCCTTTAGCTAGAAATGCATGCTAACATGCTAACAAGCACAGGTTTCTCCATTCCTTAGCATTTGTATTTTTGACTATGAGAAGCTATTAGCTTAACATAAGAATAGTTTTATACTTTATTTTGTTGTGAACCTTGCCCAAAGTCATTAAACTTATGAGAAAATAATTTTCTCTCAAGTTTAACAAATTTATTAGACAACCACCCAATATTAGGATAATGCCTAACTTAACAGTATAGCTAATACACCAGTATGTGCAAGCTCTTAATTTGATTAGTTTTCTTAATTTTAGCGTATATTTTTTGGAAAAACACACCCAAAAACTATATGCAAAAAGCAACAACAACAAAATAAAGTCTAAAAATAAATGTGAAAATATGCTTTGCCTACTGTCCTTTTGTGCAAATAAGACATATATAGAAAGGTATGTCTGTCGTGCTTTGCATACTTATGGCACCTCAGACATAATTGGATAATTACAGTTTCCAAGAGGAGCTGAGTGGATGTGAAGAAGGGCAGCACAATAGAAAGTATTTTGTTTGTTTTACATTTAACTCTTTCGTGTTATGCCTCCAGGTCCAGTGCAGACGCAGTTTGTACAACTGCAACTATGTTAATGACATTTAATTCTGATCAAATTTGGCAGTTTTCTTTTGTTTTCAAGCACATGCTCAGCAGAGTCGTCAAGCTCATTGTTACATGGCTGTTGTTGACTTTAAGTTAGAGTTTCATTGTTAGATGGAAGTGGAAGTACAAGCTTCAGGTTTTGATGGACATTTTCAAAAGTTCACGCTGTCCGGGTGATGTAAACAAGCAGAACTGTTGTATAAGACACTTCCTCTAAATGTCTCTTATTTGTTCAGCCAGAGTTTGCTCATTTTGAATGAATATGAGGTGGTTCTGCATTCTGAAATTCCCACAACTACCTTCTAGTTATAAGCTAAAGATTATGAATGGCCTTTATGAAATCTGCAACGGTATAAACAGGTGTCTTACCTTGGAGTCGTAGGCGGACTGCTGGATGACCTCAGGAGCCATCCAGAACGGCGTTCCCACAAAGGTTTCCCTCTTGATCTGCGTGTCTGTCAGCTGACCTGCCACTCCGAAGTCCGCCAGCTTCACCTGACCCTGCTCCGACAGCAGGACGTTGGCAGCTGCAGAGAAGCAAATAATTTAACCTTTCTGCAACATCATCAGACTGAGTAACATCATCAACTAATGGTAGTTATTTTGTGCAATAAATGTAATTCTGATTCTAATGCTGTCAAATTAAGTATAAAAATCGCAAAAGAATTCCAGATTTCCACTAAAGCGTCCGTCCTTCATCTCTGAACCCCTACAGCTAAGACGTTGAGTACAAAGTTAGCACATATTAAAGAATAAGTATCAAGTAAGTATCAATTTCACGGGTTTGAAATAATTTTTTTCCATTTCCTCCTTCTGACGGCTTCCCCTGTACTCTTAAAGATGACTTTTGACACATCAGGATATATCAATAAAGACGTAGTTTGACAAACATTAGAATCGTTTTCTGCGCTTTTCCAAGAATATCTGCACAGGCAGAGATCACCGTCACTAACTTCTGATGCACGCCCAGTCATTTTGTTCCATAAGTAGGCTGAAATATGATTTAAACACATCAGGGTGAATCAAACTACTCAGACCTCATGTTAAACCTGCTCTCAGGCCTGTGTGGGTGGATCAGCATCCTGAGAGCCGTTTCACAGTTGGTAATGAGAACATGTTGAAGTTCTTCATTGTTTCTATGACAGTGTTTACTTCAATACCCAGCTCAGTAACGCTCAAGTGTCACAGCCTCGCAGAATATGAAAATCTTTTGTCAAATGTGAGAAAATCAAGTAGTGATCAGCGATCAAGAAAGCTTTCTGCATGGATCCTGCGACGTAAATTAAGTGGACGGGCTTCCAATGAAAGAGGTCGTCAATTGTGGGAAGCTTCGTTTCCCCTAAGGCACCAACACCTGCACCGATTCTCAGATTCTGAATCTTACTTTCATTTAAATGATATAATATTTGAATCGGTGTTAGAGGTCCGGGCGCTACAGTCTAACCAGCACCTGCCGCACCTTTGATGTCTCTGTGGATCTTCTTCTCAGAGTGCAGGTAGTCGAGCCCTTTCAGGATCTCCTTCAGCATGGTGGCAATCTGAAACTCATCAAACGGACCCGCCCGCAGCTACACACACACGCACACACGCACACACGCACACACGCACACACACACACACACACACACACGCAGAGTGATGACACGGGTATAAAATACACTGTGATATGCCGGAGGCTCACAAACACACCCTATTACAGTTTCAATCAAGACAAGTCCCAACACAGAAAATTAGACAATCAAATGTTAATGAATCAGATTTTCTCATTTTAAACAGAGTTTTAAAAACTTTGTTTTTTATTTTGATTTAAAAGAATTAAAGTTTAATTTCTCTGTATTTATGTGCAAAGAGATGTTTATACTCATAAGTGAGAATTCTCCAAAACAGGGAGGATGAAACTAAAGGATAAGAGATTAAACGCTTTCTACATCTATTAGCGAGACCTCACAAACATTGGCTCTAGTCATTACTTGATATTATTTCACTTACTAGGTTTCATGGACAATAAATCCTCTACAAATGGACATAAAGACTCACCAAGTCGAGTGCTGAGCCCCCTCCAAGATACTCCATGATGATCCACAATTTACTTCCCTGAAAGACAGAATTACAAATAAACTTCCAACAATGTGCCTATAAAAATGACTCAACTACAATATACTGGGAATAAAAAAAAAATCCTTAGTTCGCAGTAGGTGAAAAATTTTCCGTGGGAAAATAACACTCCCCACTCCTGTGGAATTCCTTTTAAACCTGACTTAGATCGGCTTCCGGGCTGAATGAAAATATCCGCCTTACCTTCAGGTAGGAGCCGTAGTACTTGGTGATGTACGGACTGTCGCACTGACTGAGCACCGTGATCTCCTGCTGGATGTCCTCGATTTCATCCTCTGCCTCCTCCAGATCGATCGTTTTGATGGCGACGACGCTCTGAGTGCGATTATCGATTCCTTTGAAGACCTGCAGGAGGGAACGGGAGGCAGAGAAGTGAAAAAACATGGATGTAAGAAAACAAAAGAGGATCACCAGGAGAGGAAGAAGAGAAAGAGAAAGGTGAGAAAGAATAAAAATGAGGGGGATAAAGGAAGTGAATGTAGGAGAGAAGATGACAAAAAATAATAAATTACACCCACCTCTCCAAAAGATCCTTTTCCAATGCGATCCAATTTAGTGAACAGCTCCTCTGGATCGAGCTGAGTACTCTGAGGAGACGACGAACAAAGAGTTAACAGCTCCATAATAATAATAATAAAAATAATAAACTATTAGCAAAACTACAGGTCTCAAACAAATTAAGATAAATGCACCACACGGGCTGAAACACAAACAGACTCATGCTGCTCATTTGCAAATAGATTAAAAACACATTTCTATCATTTCTAATATCCAGAAGCAGATATCCAAGTCATTTGCATGCTTGGAATATCGGACAGACATCATGACGTGGAATGGCCAGTCTGGTTAAGACAAACGTCTCTCTTATTATTAAATAAGCTGTAGCTTGAAATTGAATGTATTTTTACAATTCCAACAACAGCAACAGAAAACCAGATCTCTGTTACTGAAGCTCAGCAGCGCTGTGACATTTGACGTCAAATGGATCCAAAAACATCTGCACATCCTGCGTGTTTATTACACATTTGAATATTATATAACTTCCAGTAAAACTGTTGGCTCATGAGTGTTAATGCATCGACACACTGAGCCTATTCAGGCTCGCCACCAGGTGTAACAATCATGTGTAAACTGATCAGGAATTACTAGTAAATAATTAACTCTTATTTTGAAAGTTCAGGCAGTTCTATCGCTCCTTCCTTAGTTTAGGGATTTATCCTCTTAACTTCACATTCAACCTGTGCTTTACACTGTGCTTCTTCCCAAGGAGCATCACCACGGTAACTTGAGCTGCAGATGAAACCTCCTCCAGAGCAGGTCACGTGTGAGCTCAACAGGTATGCGTCTATTCCAAGAAAGGCCTGTGGATCTCAGCGCTCAGTTGCCAGGAGGGTTTCAAGAGTGTCTAAAGTTTTTGTCTGTCTCTGATGAGCATCATTAAGAAGTATAGCTTCATACGAGGATCCTTTTTTTCCTGTTGGCTGCAAGCTAGTTAAAACAAAAAAACAAAAACCAAGAACCTAAATATGGTAATATGATTGTAAAACAGGGAACCTATTTGTACCAGGTGACCTTACAGACTATTGTTCTTCATTTGCCATCGCAGCTGGAAAGAACAGGCCTAAAACTCTGTTAAGCATGTCAATAAACAGTCAGTTAATGTAATGGATTATCACCTGTTAGATCCTCCCTTGTTTGCTCTATAAATCTAACTTCTAAGAAAGACCTGGTCAAGGTAGCATCCACACCCTAGCTGTAGCATAAAACATTACAGGCCTTTCAATAAAAACATCCACCGGCCTCCTTCATTGCATACCTGATGATGCTTTAGATGCAGGGATGTTTAAAAGTTCAGGTGTGTGTTAATTATTCCTTGTCAAAGGTGCATAACACACACCAGAACCTTCAGCACATCAAAAAGCAACCATCAGAGCATCACAGCTGGTACGAAGACAAACTGGGAGTAGGGCAGGGCAATATTGCAAAATATTTATCACCATATATATTTGATAATTTGCGATAACGATATAACTGACAATATAATTGACACAAGACAAAATACTTTACAACTCCACAACTTTATTAGTGCAAAAAACCAGCATCAATTTATTTCCACTTAAACAAGCAGCTGTTTCTTTATAATTGCATTAAAGCGATATAAAAACTTTACAGTGCAAATTCCTTGCTGACAGTTTAACCAAAAGGCATTTCGATTGGAAATGGGCCGATATATCCCGAGCATAACCATGTATGATATCCACACAATATAAAAAGAGGTGCTTTGCAACATGAAACTGCAGTGTGCCAAATAAATAAGTCAAATACGTATTTTTTTGGACCATAAGGAGCATGGAATTATAAGACGCACTGTCGATGAACGGGTCTGTTTTCATCCATAAGGCACACCGGGTTATAAGGCACATTAAGGGAAACAAAACAGTCAGATAAGTCAAACTTTACTCAACTTTCTTCTTGCTTCCTCCACTTGCGTCCCATTGATTCATTAATGTTGAATTCTTTCACAGCTGCTCTACTCCCATTAAATCACAGAATTAATTATAGTTAAAAATCAGCTGCTAATAGACCAGTCTACGTTTCTGATGTAGTGACCGACTTATCCAGCTGATAGCCGCCTTTAGTCGCTAAGCCTGATTGCAGATGTTAGTCTAAGAGAAGCCCAGAAAGATATTGTGGGTGTGCTGACCTTGCTGTGTAAATACAGGTGCCTGCTCTGCAGATTCGCTGCAAGCTGGAGAGTCACCCTTACTGGCACCAGGTACGATGAGGTCAGCGAGGCTGAACTACCCTCAGCTGAATTCACTGAACAAACAGCTGCTTATCATGCACAAAATATTTCAGCTATAAAGATTTGCAGAGGAGTTACTACTGAGTAATTGCTGCCCTTGTTTTTGCAGGATTTGTTTTAAATATAAAATCACTGAAATTAGGCAGAAAGACAGAATAATAAGATATTATAGTGACTTTTAACATCTTGATGCATGCTCAATCTTCCAGCTAAGTAAATCCCAAAGATTGACTGTGTTCATCTGGACGTAGCGTTTCGTCACTCATCCAAGTGACTTCTTCAGTCTCAGCTGACTGCAGGTTTCCCCAATCTTATAAAGTCATTGCATAATGACTGGAACTAGCACCACTGAATGAACAATGGGCATTTCTCCCACTGAAAACGCTACATCCAGATGAACAGAATCAACCTTTTGGTGTAGTGACTTTTAACATTTTGCATTAATTTGAGTATTGAAACAGCATATATTGCAATTTATAATAATTTTTAAAATGCAAATTACATCCTCAAAGTTAAAATCTTTTAACATCTGATTTATTCAATAAGAATGATCTCACTTCAGTTTTATTTGCTGCATAATGAGACAGAAGAATGCAACACTGTCACTAAAACCTGCCATACGTAGTGCCACAGGAGTTTAAAGACGTACGGAGCTGGTTGTAGTATTTTTACTCGTGTGACTGAGCCGTTAGCTTGATAAAGCTACTTTCTAATTCAGAGCAAACCCAGTGTGTTCAGTGTTGGGTGGTTTTTCAGTTGAGTTAATGCAGTCTGGACCCCCAACATTAGTATCCTTGTATCGATACAATATAACAATGTAAAAAATATCAAACACTACACTGTCTTCCACCGCCCAAATGTTTTGTACGTTATATTTTAAAACATGCATGGGTTCTCTCCAGGTACACCAGCTTCCTCCCACAGTCCAAGACATGCAGTTAGTGCAGTTAGGTTAATTAGTAATTCTAAATTGGCCAAAGCTGTGAATGTGAGTGTGGATAGTTGTCTGTCTCTATGTGTTAACCCTGCGATAGACTGGCAACTTTTCCAGGGTGTTCTCTGCCCCCCCCCCCGTATGACCCTGACAAGGGTAAGCGGAAGAGGATGGACGGATGGAACCATTTGGATTTTTACATCCCTCAAAGCAAACTAAAACGTTTTGAGGACACAGAGAGAATTTTTTAAAGCAGTATTTATCATTTGATATAATGACAGTGACAACTTTATTTATATAGCACATTGACTTGTCATGAAAATTAAATATACTTAACAACTAAAATGAACACGTAAAAATTAAAATGTTGGTTTAAAAACCTTTAAAAGGCATTGAAAACAGCAAAACAGAACAAAACAAAAACAGCTATAAGATATAAGACTGTATCAATATGGATCCATTAGTGAAACCAAATAAAAGATGAATTATTAGAGCAACAAAAAAAACCCCGCAAAAAAAGTTGATCACATTCCCAGCGACCTGCCTTATTTCCTCACACGCAAAACTTTGCAACATGAATGCAATGTTGTTACCACAGACTCACACAGACACACACAAACAGCAATGAGGTGCAGAAGGAAACAAGCATGACAGTTGAAGATAACAGGAACTGAACGCACACAGCTGCGTGACCACACAAGCACACACACACACACGCGCGCACAGTACTTATCTGAGTTACACTCATTTCCTAAAAGCTGCTGCGGCTCAAAGCGCAGCACTTACACTGAAATACACGTCATTTCAGTTCATTTCTCCCGTTTCTGCATTCGCACAGACTCAAAACCCTGCACGAGTTTCCAAGCAAAGCCGTCGTGGCCGTGACAGAAAAAAAAAAGAAGCCCAAAAAGGAGTCAGTGCTCAAAGCTGAAAACTGACAAGTAGGCACAGACAATTTCACAGAAATCTTGAAAAACAAAGAAAGTTTTGATCGACAGGAAGAAAACATCCGTGTTTATCATTGTGATGCTTCACATGTAGAATGAGCTCAGCAGTTCAGACTGATGCAACTTCCAGTTATATTTTAAGACTGCAACGTTCTTGGGAAATACATTTACACTCAAGCCACACTTAAAAGTTTGACACTTTTAATCACTTAAACCAATAAAATGTAAAGCACACCATCTTCATTTTGCTGTGCAAAGTAATCAGAAACACACATTTAATTCTTTGTCACACACATTTAATTCTGTGTCACACACATTTAATTCTGTGTCACACACATTTAATTCTGTGTCACACACATTTAATTCTGTGTCACACACTGCGTTAGGGCTGGGCGATATGGCCTAAAATCCATATCGCGGTATAATTTGAAGCATGTGCAGTAACGATATATATCGCGATATATTCTTTTCTTCTGTGTAACGTATTTTACACACTATAAGGCACACTTAAAATCCTTTAATTTTCTCAAAAATTGAGAGTGTGCCTTATGTATGAATTCTGGTTGTGCTTACTGACCTTGAACAGATTTTGGCGTGCAGAAATCTGTTAAAAAATGTTTTAGTACAACTTTGGTAAGTCGCACTGTTTGATGGATTGTCAGAGCATTACGGCTGCCGTAGTGAGGAGCTTAGCGGAGTAATCTGGGTCCAAAACTCCGTCCGTTTCAGGTCCCAAAGTCAAATGAACACTGAGTGTTAGAAACTGACTAAATTATTTCATATAAAATGATCAGCGTTGCTGCTTTACCAGGTGTAACAATTAAGTTTAACATCCAGGCATCCATGAAAACTGAATTTATTAAATTTAACGAAGTTAGAAGTTTACAGGAAGTTAGCTCG